TACAAAGTTAGGAATATGTGTAATTCTAAACGCAGAAAGACTGTACAGTGAACATATACATCTATTAGTACTAGTTAATCAGATAACGTTGACCTGAAAAGCTTTACTGGATGTAGATGAATGATATTGATGCATGACAGATTGGCCAAATGTTATATAATGTGTAATGTATAATGAGATAATAATTAGGTCCAATGCTTTGGTTTGTTTGGGTGTTTAGCATGGTTCTATTAATCCCCATGGTTAAGAAATATAGAATAATATGATTAAGTTTCCAAGATGAGTTATCACAATAATTCTACTGAAAGACTTGACCCACAAGCCTTGGCTAAATCTAGTACTGTCTGACGCCAGACAAACAAGTTCAAAGTGAAATAAATGACTAACATGCATATTCAGAATGTGCTTTTAAATAGAATAAATGCAAAAAACTGGCTTATATTTTCCTACGCCAGAAACATGAAGGCCTTGGTTCAAGTACTATATTATTTGGCGCATGAAGAAAGCAGTGAACAGTCAGAGATTTTCCCCACAGCTAGATGAGCACCGAGCTAAAGCTCGCCGCCATAAAAATGCCAGACTTCAATGAATGCAAATATCATGAAGGCTTGATCTCAACTTCAAAACAAACAGCAGTTGCAGACAAAGGTTTTCATTACTCTTAAAGTAACAAATAAAGAAAAGCCTACTAAATATTCTGCAGGAGGCTAGATAATTAATCCCAAGGGATGAATTGTACCTCTATCATCATATTTTCTTCTAAAGTTACAATAAGAACTTTTTCGGTATTAATGATAGAATAGGGTTTTTATAAAACTACCTTAAAAATTAATAATATTCTTGAAGCTACATAAAGGGAAAAAAGTAAAAGTAAAATAATACATCTTCTTTAATCTATTTCTTGTTTTTAGAAGTCAATGAAATCATAACTATTTTAAAAAAGTATAAACATTTATATTTAAATCCACATTTCAGAGTGTTCATAGCATTCCAAATTGTCTTTACTTCAACACAAACTTCATTTGCAGACAGATGTGGTAATTCATCTCAATGTGACAAAAGATAATGCTTTAGATTTTCTTCAGGAGGAAAGCTAACTAGAACTGTCCAAACGGGATAAAATAACCCCCGCTGGGTTTTTCAGAAGTAAGTTTTTTCCAAAATAAAGATATGTATCAAACATTAATTATGAAATTTTTCTTCCAGTGACCTTGGACTTCCCCAAATCACCTTGGGTCAAGGTCATGGCACACCATTGGGTCATGGGCAATCTTTGTTTGAAATGAGAACCTACCAAGTTTATCCATAAGAAAAATGTGGGACCGGACACAAATTATGAAATATTTCTTCCAGTGACCTTGAAATTCCATAAATGACCTTGAGTCAAGGTCATGAAAACCCTTGGGGCATAGGCAATCTTTGTGTAAAATGAGAACCTACCAAGGTTTTCCATAAGAAGGATATGGAACGGACACAAATTATGAATTTTACTTCCAGTGACCTTGAACTTCCCCAAATGACCTTGGGTCAACGTCATGACACACCCTTAGGTCATGAGCAATTTTTGTGTGAAATTAGAAGCTACCAAGTTTATCCATAAGAAAGATATGGACCGGACACAAATTATGAATTTTTTCTTCCAGTGACATTGAAGTTCCCCAAATGACCTTGGGTCAAGGTCATGGCACACCCTTAGGTCATGGGCAATCTTTGTGTGGAGTAGTAGATTCTAATATCCCTCCGTAAGAAAGATATGGACCGGACACGTTTGCACAGACAAACGGACGGCCGGACAGACAGACGGACAAACAAGGTGATTCCTATATACCCCCCCAAACTTCAATTGCGGGGGGTATAATTAATCCCAAGAGACTCATAACAACATTCAGTTTACAATGGGAACATCTTCAGCAGTTATCTCTCTTTGCCAATGCATTCTTATATAAAGTTAAGGAATCTACCCCACCTCCAAACCAGGGGACACAGAGAAACAAACTTAGCATCAAAATATGTCTTCCTGCCTATTGAACTACCCCTCAAATTTATCTTAATTGGGCAACCATAAAAAAAGTTTTTAAGAAAAAACAGAAAATTTGTGGACGGAAGAATGACAGACAGAGTGCTTACTATAGGGCATTCGCAAATCCTTGCGGGGCCCTAACAAGAAGCCCATGGGCCACATCGTTCACCTGAGCACTGTGTCTAACGGAGGGAATTATGATTTGCGTGTTCTTAAAAAAAACAGAAAGCATTTATCTTTTTCAAAAGCAGACTGTTACAAGCAAATTCAAGGCATTGTGGTCCCCCGGTTTCGGTATCTTTTGGGTGAGATGTCATTTTTATTAAATATCTAATGGATTTAAAAACAAAGGTATGTTTCTAACATTTTATTGTTTTATTACTCTGGAAAGAAATGCATAATTTCTCAAAACTTTGGTTACTTGGTTTCTGTAAAAATATTTGTAACAATAAAGTAATAATTACGAATGTGAATTGAAGTTAGCAGTGCTTTAAAAAATTATTCTTTTTATGCCCCCGGATCGAAAGATCTTGGGGATATATTGTTTTGTCTTGTCTGTCTGTTGTCAACTTTGACCTATTCTATAACTATTAATTGGTTGGGGTTATAGCTTTCATATTTCACAGGTGTGTTTTTTGTAACAAGACTTTCCTTTTAGAACCATGATTTTTTACCTTGACCTTTGGAGTTTGTAATGCATTTGAGAGAGAATTCAACTGCCATACTGGGGCATCAGTGTTTCACAAACACATCTTGTTAAGTGGCTCATTTTTAGACACTGAGTGTGGGATTGGATGCAGTAACCTGGATGGGTGACTTTTTTTCTCAATTTAAGCCAGTTTCCAGTCGGAAGTGAACAAATTTTTACAAAAAAATGAGAAATGAGTATTCAGGGAATAAGATCCAGCTGTCAACAATATTTCTAAAACAATAGTTTTAATAATCAACTGTCTCTTTAGTTTTTTTTAACATTTTTATTTGCTTTTTTACACTGTTTTCATCTTCCATCATCATCTGTTGCCAATCGTTGTATAGTCGTTAACACTCTCCATTTTCTAATTCAGTTTTGGAAATGAACATCTGCTGTCTGATTGCTGGCACTGATCTTTGATTGTCCAAGACAAGGAAGGTCAGCAAGGTGCTCAACTTTTCATATGGAATGTTTGGTCCTACTGACTTTTTCTACTCTTGTGGCATCTTGGACATCATTGTTTGTGGTGACATATCAGACAAAATCATCTTTTTTGACAAGTACAGGTGTTTTAAGATAGGCACTGTGCAGACGTTTTCCACATGGCAGCCAGACTTTGTGGGCATTTTAATAGAAACTTCTCTACCCCATTTTTTCGTTTAACTTCCAAGTTACTCCAGGAGTGACTACATGTGACATGGGCACGGTATGTAATTTAAGTGTTAGTCCATTATTTGTACACTGAATTGATGACGAATTTTTCCTTAATTTCTCAATCATGATAAGGAGCACATGGCGGATGTGAACGGTCAGCAAAGAATGCTCACTCCTCAAGGCACCCGATCCCACCTCTGATGTTTATATGAGGTCCGTGTTTGCTCTGCTCCTAATTTGTATTGTTTTTTGGACTTTGAGATTAAATACTGTTCGTTATCTCTATATCCTTTTATTTTGGGTCCGCTTGACAGGAGAGTCATACAGCCTAATCAATCATCACATGGCGCCATATCTTAGACTCCTTCTATACTATATCTGTAGCCCCCGTCCCTTTTGCTTGACAGTTGGGCTATACAGACCTCTTTGCAGCAAGCTACAGATGTTGTTCTACGCTCTGCACTCAGGGCCATTGAGATCTGTAAATGTGAAATTGAATGGAAACAAAATCGATTAATGAATGGAATTGATCTTTTTTACACATTTAATTTATTTGACTGTTATTGCATTTTTTATTCATTATTCATTAATATTATCCATTTCACTATCTGAGAATCATATTTTTTCTTTGCTTCATTAATAAAGGAAAACCCAGCAGTTTTGATCAAGACTGTAGCTCTACTGATGTTAACTTAAGACAAAAGAAGAGAAAAATAGCAGTGGGACTTGCATCTTTACAGCAGCAATGAAAAGAATAATGATCCTTGATTAAGTCTCTTTTTGACAAGATTGCCGAAAGACTACAAAAGAATGAATAGCTTTTCATAAAATTTTACAGAATTTTCAATTTTAGATACCATGGCAACAATATTCATCAAAATAAAAAAAAAATAAAGACAATCATGTTTCTCGGTGTAGAGTACTTGTGTGCCAAATTATACTATCATCACATAGGAACTCTCCATCTTAATTGTTAAAAAAATATTTCTACTATACTATAAATAAAACAAGACCCGAAACTTCCCTCCATGTTAGATTCCGCTTAGGGGCACTTTCTGGCTAATAGCGAGAATTTCTCTCCAAAGTCGGGCCTTTCTTAGACATCGGGAGCTCTCATTTATTGAAATAAATTAAAATCAGGCTGAATCTTGCAGTATGTTCGCCGCATTCACGCGTTTTCTAACATTTCTCTGATAACCACCTTTCCTCGGCCGGAAGTTGAAGGTTTCGCCGGTTTTAGACAATTCGATCAGTTTTTCGTAAACAAACCATCAGAACGAAGAAAAAAAAACTCAGAATGAACGAGGAGCAATGTTTTGCCCTAAAAATAGTAAAAGAAGGGCATAACCTTATTTTAATTGGGCAAGCGCTGGGTTTGGTAAGACATATACAATTCACCAAGTATGTATGCAATTGGATCAAATGAATATAAAATATGCCTTAACCTGTTCGACTGGTATAGCAACATGTGCATATCAGGGAGTAAAAGCTACTACATTGCACAAATGGTGCGGAATTTTGGATGGTAGATATTCAAATGAAGAGTTACTACACCTTATGAACTCAGATGAAAGATATGTAGAAATTAAAGAGAGACTATACAAAACCATTTGTTTAATAATAGATGAAGTGTCCATGGTAAGTGCCAAAAGCCTGAATCAAGTTGAATTCGTTCTTCGCAAAACTACGAATTCAGAAAAGATTTTGGGGGGCATTCAAATAGTGTTATGTGGAGATTTCTACCAGCTACCACCTGTAGCAAATGAGCTGTATGGGGACCAAGGGAAACATTGTTTTAATGCTGTATATTTTGACAAAACTTTTCCTCATAGAGTCGACTTACACACTGTCTACAGACAGACTGAACAGGACCTAATATCTGCTGCAAATGAACTTGCACAGGGAAGTGTGTCTGATGCTACAAAAGCCATAATACTGTCTTTGAACCGGCCTTTACCTGCCCAAATTGATGTCCGGGATATTGTTTATTTATTTTGCAGAAATGTGGATGCAGATATTCATAACTACAAAGTTATTACAGACAAACCTGGGGACTTAGTTACGTTTACATCTGAAGACACTGGTGATAATCATTACTTATCTAAAATGTTAGCACCAAAACATTTGGGTGTTAAGGTTGGTGTTAAAGTTATTTTACTAACCAACTTATCAGATGACCTTGTTAATGGAAAAATGGGGATAATTCAACGCATCGAAGGTGATTTAATTTATGCGACTTTTACTATCAATGGTAAAGACAGTATTTACCCCATCAGAAAATTCACTTCTACTACTTACGACCCTGTCACTATAAGTATACTTAGCAAACGAGTGCAATTTCCTCTAAAACCCTCTTATGGACTGATCATCCATACATCAAAAGGAATGTCATTAAAGTAGGTTGTTGTAGACTGCCAAAATTGTTTCATACCTGGACAAATTGGAGTAGCTGTAGGGAGGGCAACATCAGTTGAGGGACTGAAAATTCTTACTTTCAAATCTTCACATGTCATTCAACATCACCAGAGTGTGTATGCCTACTACAAAACTTGTAATGTTGGAAATTTAATTCCCAATAAATCATGTTGTCAGGGGCATACATATAATAAAGATCAAGACAGAGAAGACTTAGTAGGGGTAGATATTGATGGCGATGATGATGATGATAATGATCCATCTACTGTTAATACTAGAACGGAAGGTGATACTGGACAGATGGAGTCTGATTCAGATTTTTCAGAGGTGGAATATGACATTTTCCATATTGAAAATATTGACAGTGATTATGATAGAGCAAAAGATATTTTACAGAAAGTAGCTCAAAAGTACAAGGATACACCATTAAAAAAGTGTTTGTGCGAAACTGTGAAAAACATATTGAACAGTCCACAAGAGTTTCTGTCATTTTATGACAGTCAGTATAAAGTCTTGGCTTCATTTAACATTGGAAAGGAACTACAAAAGAAATAAAAGATTTCTACGTGTCTTTTAATCAACATGTTTCATCTCAAATTTACACATCAGTTGAAAAATTGGGAAAACTATATACAAAACTGACATTGATCATTTTCCACGCTTAATGACGGATGTAATGGTGGGGATTCCTGTTTCCATCCTCAGAAAACATCAACCAGCAAGAGTTGAAAATCCTTCCGTCATGCATGTTTTAGATGAAAGTACAGAACTTTCTGGACCAGCCAGAGGTAAGGTACATTATGTAGCTGGATATGTTATTGCCAAACTGAAATACAGTAAAAGTAATTTCATTTCTTTTCTGAGCTTGAGGTGGAAGTCAGAAAACTCTGTACTGATAAGACATTACAGACCTACAGAGGAGAAATGTATACACATAGAAAACTCACTTTTAGGAAGATCAGAACTTCACAGAGCATTTACAGAATGGTTCCATTTGACCACCCGGGAGCTGCCATTCCTTATAATGGGACATGTAGTTGTAGAATCTGCAATGTGAATGATCTTTTCCAGCATAGTGTTAAATTATTCATGAAAATGAATATTGCCCAGTTCATAAGAAATTTCCTTCATGCCCTACAAGTGAAGAAGAGTAAAGCACTCAGACAAAAAGTGATAACTAAAACCAAATTTTTAATTTCAGTTTTTTTCTTGATGATTCTTCTGAAGATAAAAATGCTTCACACCACAGAATTAAGAGTGAAATTTTTAACACTAAAAGATTTGAACAAATTTTCACTAAAAAACAAATTATTCAAATAGGTAAAGCATATGGACTTTCTCTAAACCAAAGTCAAAACAAAACTGTGATGCTTCAAATTTTAAATGAAAAATTGCGGGAAAGAAAGTGAAATTATGCCATACCCTAGGATACTCAGGAGTTTTTCACCATCCTTCAAATCAGTCCAGGAAGGCAGTAGTGACATGGTGTTGGAAATGTCAGCCACGTCAACTGGAAGAGTTCCTTCTACATCCATAGGAGGCGGGGCATCTACATCCACAGTTAGGGCAGCAACATCATCAAGAAGAAAGACACCATCTTCATCTGACAGCAGGGCTGTAACTGGTGGAAATCCAAAGTCTTCTTATCCTAAATCTGGAAAAAGAAGAAAAAAAAACATTCTGAGAAATAGAAAACGAGGGAAAGAAAAAAAAGAAACATATGAGGAATCATTGTAGTGTTTGTTGGAATTCAGAAGGACAAGCAGAGGAATGGATAGAATGTGATACATGTGTCAAATGGTACCATAGAAACTGTATAGATATAAGTGATGAATTATGGGAACAGTATACAACAGAAGACCAGCCATTTACATGCCCTGAATGTGATTAGGTAAATATTAATATATATAGAAATGTGATCAATTCGTGTATTGAATCTTTAATGTAAAATTGTATAAATGTAAAGATTTATCCATTAATTATGAGGCACAAATGGTGTTTTAATTTGTTTAAGATAGAAGTTCATGTTATAAATATACCTGTGACTGCAAAGATCAGATTTCCTATGGATCTGCCCCTGCACCCTTGCCTCCTGTACTGGACTTCCTATAGACGGATGGTTGTCCAATGATGATAGAGTTCATTGTCCGACAATAGGCAAGGTACGTTGTATTTGTGTTATTTCCATTATACAAGCCTCTCTGTTGAGAAAACACAATTTCTATTACATCAGAATTTACTCTACTTGGTATGAAAGATGCACCTGATGTCTCTAATTTGTCCATGCATAATTCTCTAAAACCAATGATAAGTGAGGATATATCTGCTCTCATTTGATGTGATATCATGAACATCTTACTGGGTTGAAGTGAATCATCTGCTTTGACTGCTTCCTCCCATTTTACAAACCAATCTAGGACTTTTTGTAAGGTATCAAGTCTCTCATCAGATATGTCAATAATTGGTCGTTTGTCTCGAAAAATATCAATAAGCGCACTTGTATGTTTCAGCTGTTGGATGGTGCTCTGAAGATGGGAAGAATCAGACAAGCTTTGACCATAACACTCCATGAGATGAAGCATCTCCTTTCCTAAAGCGTTTTCGGCCAATTTATTTCTCATTTTGGATTCATTTGTAAGTTCAAAATGTTTGAGTGTTAAACGGTAATAAATTGGGAGAGGATTATTTTTATGCCTCACATATGTGCATTTAGGAAATGACCCCATAGTACATAATTCCCAGAAGCTAAGTCTTCTTTTACTATGTGTGGAAGATGTGCTCTTTGAAATATTATTTCTTATTTTCTTGATTACATTTGAATAATCCATAATGAAAATAATTTTTGGCGACTTATGCGAATATATATTTGTTATTTGTGCCAGCCAATATGGATACACTGTAAATTTAAGTCTTTGAACAGAGACCTCATTGTTGATTTCATATAATCAGTGCTCAATTCTTTAGTAAGCATTGCTACATGTAACTTCTACTAATTCATTACAGATGTACTGTGAATTATGCTTACAAATTACATTCTGACTGTAAAATATTTTGAGACATTTTGTTTTGTTTTGTTGGGTTTTTTTTCGTTGCTGTTGTTAAGGTTTCGTCAAAGGTCAACATGTCGAAAAATTTATTTTTACAATAGCCCCAAAACTATGTGAGATATAAAAATAGAACTTTTACAGTTTATAAATTTTTCATTGAATAACAGATAGAAAGTATCACTTGATAAAAAAAAAAATACTTGGAATAATATTAATTGAGAAAAATTCTTCTTACAATTCATATATTTTAAAAAAAATACACCTAATTAATTCCATGCTCCTAGTGAAAACAATCATTGCAGACACAATATATGTTTATCAATGAAGGGCAAGTTGGACTTGGATAGCCTCTGGAAAGTTGTTTTCCCTGTTTATTTTGTCCAAATGTTAAGACTTGAAAGTGAAAGTACATTGCAAATGGCAGATTTTATAGGGGTCATGTTTTTATACATGTCATGCTTTCAATAACAGCCAAACGTCAGGACGAAGTAATTATATCAAGAATACGTATTGGTCACTCTAAAATTACACATGAATACTTGCTGAATCGGGAGTCTCAGCCGGAGTGTATATCCTGTGACTGTCCGATAACTGTCAATCATATTTTATTAGAATGTTCTGATTTTTCGCCAATTCGAAGTAGACTTTTTGGTAATGCAAAAACGATATATGACCTTTTTACAAATGTAAATGTACATGCAATTTTGGAATATTTACATGAAACTGATTTTTACAATAAAATATAGAAATGATTAGAGCAATTTTATGATATATATTTAGATGATTTTATTTTTAACAGTTTACATATTTTTAAATTTCCAGTCCGTCGGATGGGACTTTAAATGGTGCCCCGTGTCAAGGATAACAACCCCCTTGGCACGCAAAAGATCGTTTCTCTGGAGTTCGATAAAGAGTAGGCTCATTGGGGGCCGCCAGAGAAACCAAAAGCTTTCAAAAACCGGTTAAAACTTGCCCGCCAAAATATGGCTGAAATATTGCCGACTTGGCGTTAAACAATATAAAATCAATCAATCAACAACAGCCTTTAAAAGACCATTCACGCCCAACTTGTCCTTCAATGATAAACATATATTATTTCTACAATGTTGGTTTTCACAAAAAGAACAGAATTAAGCATGTGCATTTTTCTTTAAATATGCACATTTTCTGATACAATTTTTCTCAAAAAATATCTTTTTTAAAATATTTGTTATCAAGTGATACTTTCTATCTATAAATCAATGATAAATTTATAAACTGTAAACGTTTTGACTTTTTACCACACATAGTTTTCGAGCTACTGTAAAAATAATTTTTTAAACATGTTGACCTTTGACGAAACCTTAATGTTTGTTGTTGTTGTTTTTTCTGTAGTTCTTTTATAGTCTTAAAGACTTAGTATAAGAGAAAAGTTGTTTGAGTATAATGTACATATAACATTTAAGAAGTCTTAAGAAGAGTCAACAGTCATTTTCAGCTTAACTGATGTACACACAAAAATGGGGGAGGGGTTTGCCCGACTCAAGCTACTTCCCTTCTGTTGTATCAATTTTTCATTAAAGAAACAGAGGTATGTGCTATTTTTAATATTTAATTTACTAACATTAACGTAAATAATGTCTGGCATTATCCTGTAAACTTGATATAATTTTCTTCAACAAAAAAGATTTATATTAAGTATATCATTGCTTAATTAGCCCCCTTCTTGGTATGTGTATATATCGTTTTTAAAAAATGTAGCACTGAAGTATCTTGACCCCCCCCCCCCCATGTTAATTTCATATAATCAGTGCTCCATCCTTTCGACTAGGTATGTGCTATTTTTAATATTTAATTTACTCACACATACACGTTCAAGAGTTTTGGAGGGCAGTGGAATTACACTCTCTAAAACTATCAACATATCATCATGATCGTCATTACACAAATGAATATATTCTTCCTTATCTGAGCTACTTTGTGATTCTTCCACACTTGTTGATTTTCTGCTCTGTACAGGGGATTGATGGCAATATGTGTGTTCTAATTTTGTTATAAGAAAAAAGCTTCTTCTTTGGAGCCTCATTTTCAATTGATGTGAAATTCTGTTTTATAGGACTTCAGGTTCACTTGAAGAAGTTCTTCTCATGGAGGTTTTGTGAACCTTTTTGCATTCAGAACATCTGCTGTCAGAACCATTGAACTTGAGAACTCTACCACATTTCATGGACCTATACACAATTTTTAATGCAGCAGTCTTCAGTTAGTACTTCCTTTATTACATTCTGCGAATATTTATCTGGAATAGATAATTTATTCAATCCTTTGCACAATTTATGTGATTTCACAACTGTGTTAACGAAATCTTTTGATTCTTTAGTCAGAGAAAAATTGTTGTTTCCAAGTCCAATATCAGCAAGATCAATCCTCTTACCAAATAACAAAATGTCCCTTGTCATTGTAGAAGCTGGGAGATGAATTTCTACAAGAACAGGATTGTGGTTGATGAACATTTTCAACATGTTACCC